TAAACATATTACAATACTTTTTTCATGATGTGATAATAAAATATTATAATGATTTTTTTAAAAACTAGAAGCAAAGGACAAATAAATAGAATGTCGTTGTGGAGTGCATCAATGGTTACCCAAATTGTTACCCCCAGCGAGCTTCACTTTTGTCTCTGATCTCCATGTTTGCCTCGTTTTCAACGTTTTGCGTTTTTGAAATTCTTCACGTGGCATTCTCCTAAAAAAAGATAATTTACTTCGCTACATAGTGTTTGTTTAACGGCATAGCAACAATTTTAAGGGGAATTTAATGCCGAAGCTATGAAGTTATAAATATATGCTATTCAGCTTTCACAACTGAATACCTGACAGATGGTACTCAGCTTTTGTGCATATATGTGTTCGTGGGGACATAGACACATTGATATGTATGTTTATGTCGTAGTTTTCTTGAAATTATATTTTGAAGTACATTTTTATTTCATGAAGTAATTATAGGGTTTATTTACATTATTCGGACAATTATCCTCATCTTTGTCGCCATATTTATTACAACGTCTCGGTCGTTGTACGCACCGGCCTTCCTCAGGTGGTTGGAAAGTTGAACTGAACCCTTTATTTCGCTCACTGGGCTAGACTGTTCTAGTTCCACGTGCCATGTTTAATGGATGTCAGTTATCAGTTATCTCCTGTTAATTCCCCTCTCCAAGTTCTCCACTGCCTTATACAGGTTTTGAACTTCACTCTTTCACTGGATCTAACCAACGCCTTTATCTACTGTGTCATGTGTCCTCACATGATTCTACTGAATTTCCATCATATTGATTGTATCGAACTGCATGGTCTTTAGCAGAAAATTTCAGTATGTGCCATATGTAAAGATCGTCAACCGAATCGATATTATGACATGCCTACGACAACGGAGGGTTTCTAAATTGTCAGCTTAAAAACGACCCACGTAGGAATATGCTCTAAGCGAATATGTTTTGCATATTTAAAAGTTTACCTATCGCCGTACTTTGAACATTGTTGTCATATATGGTTTGGCGTTACTTATAAGTACCTAAAAATTACTGATAGTGATAAATATCTAGAAATTACAAACACACACACGTATATACATATATATTTATTAAAGACATTTTTATGTTCAACGTTCTTTTTTATAGATACAAGTATTTAAGTAAATGCTCCGTTTATAATAAGCATTTACCGGCCTGAATGTCCGAGAAATCCTTTGACAGGATTCGAACCTGCATTCTATACGGAACCGTTATTTACGCTGACGTGCCTAACCTCTCGGCCACAAAGGAGCGTTCGGTAGACGAGGTCGAATTTACTGCTTATAAACTTCAATCTTCCATGAATCTCGTAAATTCATAACTGCTCTGGCGTATCAAATGCAAACAAATGACGTCATATATTAAGAAATGGACAAAATCCGACAATTTATTTATTAAAGATATTTTTATGTTTAACGTTCTTTTTTATACATACAAGTATTTAAGTAAATGCTCTATTTATAATAAACAGTATTAAATAACATTTACCGGCCTGAATGTCCGAGAAATTTTCATAGAACGATCCTTTGTGGCCGAGAGGTTAGGCACGTCAGTGTAAATGACGGTTCCGTATAGGATGCAGGTTCGAATCCTGTCAAAGGACGAATATTTTCTATGAAAATTTCTCGGACATTCAGGCCGGTAATTGTTATTTAATACTGTTTATTATAAACAGAGCATTTACTTAAATACTTGTATCTATAAAAAAGAACGTTAAACATCAAAATGTCTTTAATAAATAAATTGTAGGACTTTGTCCATTTCTTAATATATGTATATATATGTGCAAATATGTAGAAAGATAGGAAAGAACACGTTAGGTAAATAATCCGGGGTTCTTTAGTATTTTTGTTTTTATTTTGTTAAAAAAGTGTTCCATACAGAAGTAGACTTTAATCATTTGAAAAAAATATGATTCCTTCACTACGGAAGAGTACTCATGTTTCACAAAAAAAAGAGCCAAAAACCTCAATATAATTATTAAAATTAAATGTAATTAAAGTATCAAGCCCTCTTTAATCGTCAAGCGAAATTTTTGAAAACAAAATTTTACATTTCAAAAATTTCGCTTGAGGATGAAATATAATTTTAATAATTATATTGAAGATTTTGGCTCCTGTTTTTGAAACATGAGTACTCTTATGTAGCGAAGAAATCATATTTTTCAAAAAAAATATATATATATATATATATATATATATATATATATATATATATATATATATATACCTGGTATACCTGGTGTATAATGGTCCAAATAGCATGATAGTAAAATATCCCTCTTGTGATTGTGATCTGATCCAGTTTTCCTTTCTAATCTCCCCTTTATTTTAAAATATATTTACCGTTATCTTGATGATTGATTCATTGGACTGTGAAGAGGGAAGCCAGTATATGAATGTCGGTATATTTAATTATGGCTTCTCGCCATGGTTCATTGGGGAAGAAAGTGTGGCTGACAGAAAAAGAATTTAAACTGTTCTTTTTCTAGCTGAATAACTGGAAGACTTTTTTTTCAGTGAATATTACCAAAAATAGTGTCAAGATTGCTAAACGGCTTACCTTAAAACCTGAGTAAACGAAACTCAGTTAATTTCGGGGTTTCTTAAATAATATTAAATATTATTTGTGATGAACAATTATTCCATGCTGTTACACGATTTGGTCAATTTCTGTTACACCCGGTGTGTATATATACATATATATATATATATATATATATATATATATATATATATATATATATATATATATATATATATATATATATATATATATATATATATATATATATATATATATATATATATATATATATATATAAAGAGAGAGAGAGAGAGAGAGAGAGATTGAACATATTGATATAAGACTGTCTTTATGTGCGTTTGTCTGTGTGTTCGAATTTCAAGGTGGAAATTCTTCAGAATTAATAATCTCTATCTCTATCTCTCTTGCTATCTCCTTCTCTCATTCTCAGTATTTCTTTTTCTCTCTCTCTTTATCTCTCTCTCTCTCTCTCTCTATATATATATATATATATATATATATATATATATATGTACAGACGATCCTTAAAAATCCATTCAGTTATAATTTATTTCATGCATATATACAAATATTCAAATTTTGATACTGAATGTTTTTTTAATAAAAGATCTAAATTTGTCTAGACAAGTGGAAAATGGAGAGGAAGAAAATATAAAATTAATATATTGTTCTATTTTCTTACATTAAGCTCTCTTTGGATTCATGACCACCTTGGAATTTACCATACTAATTACCAACATATATTCTATATATATATATATATGTATAATATTAGTGTAAATATACACATACATATGCAAAATATATAAATATATATACACTGCGTGCCAAATTATTATCGATAACAAATATGCTGCCAGTTTGTTTACATTGCGCAGATCAGTACGAAAATGTCAGAGATTGCGCAGGTCAGTGTTGCCAACATTGTGCGAATTGATTGGACGGTTTTTGAAATATTAGAAAAAAGTTATCTTGATAATAATTTGGCACGCAGTGTCCATACATGCATACACATACATATATATTTTTTAAATAAAAAAATTTCAGGAGTATAGAAACCATGTAGAAGTCAGACATCCGACAACATTCATATTTCTCTCATTTAAACCGTCTTTAACTGACCTCTCTAAAACTTCTTTCTGTTAAGTTTTAATCCTCCACCTTCTCTTGTCTGTTACCCCTCTCTATAGCTCTAACGTTCGTCCCACACTCTTATACTTACACTCTCTCTAAATTCTATTTTTTTATTTTCGGTATTATTTTTTTCTGTTTTCTTTTTGAATTTGCAGGTCTGATGAATTGGATCGTTTTTACGATTCCAATGGAATAAATTATGACCATGGAATATTAATGTTTGTTTATATATATATTTATATATATATATATATATATATATATATATATATATATATATATATATATATACTTGATTGTGTGGGGTGAGTTTCTGTTAAGTGCAGTTTTGCGTACTTGCATGTGCTTTGCATAACTTGTAATATTTCTCTGGAGAAAAAAGAAGCAAGATTGTTCTGGCAGACAATTAATGCTGTAGAGAATTCTCTCCTCGTGAGGCTGCCGCACATTTGCATCCATCTGACATAAAAAGGGAAGACTAATTAACAGATTAGCCTTGCGAGATAATTCGTTAATGTAAACAGGCTTATTCTCGATTAGTTTTCTCTGGCATAACCTGAAAATTTAATAAACTTCTCACTGTTTGACTCTATGTCTTTTTATCACTTTACTTTGTTTTTACCAGTAGCTTTTCGTTAAGAAATATGTGTTAGCTGGTTGATGGTGTAAAAGAAGAAAAAAAAATAATGTAGTACTTGTTTCGTCAAAGAACTATTTTAAGAACATTTTTTCACATGTTGAAATGTGTTATTGTAAGTTATTTTCTAATGTGTAATGCAGTATAGATATAGGAAATTTTATCCGCCATGTTTACACCACTTGATATAATCTTTTCTCTCTTTTTCTATATAACATTTCTTTCATTCTTTTAGTCAATTACCAACAAGCAAGGCGATAATACCACTAACACGCAAAATAAAAGAAAATGAGAATACTTTATAGAAAGAACAGCGAAACCAAATTTTACAAGGAAACAATGAATAAATCTATACCTCTGTTCAAATTACCGTGGTAGAGTCAGAATCGGAGTTTGGTGAAACTTGATACACTTGTTGAAGGATAAATAAATAAATAGTAAATAAAATTATAAAGTATAGGAGGAGACGTGAAAAATATAAAGTTGAAGAGGATTATAGAATGAACCGGAAGCCCAATCCTAAACAGGAGACAAATGATAACTCTCTACACCTGATCAAAAGACTGTGGATGAGTCTGAATCGAATGATATGGGAACCTATCTACTATTATTGAAAAGAAATTGGATAAATAGTAAAGGAACAGGAAAACAATCTTAAACATAAAACCAATCTATCTATCTATCTATCTGTCTATCTATCTATCTATCTATCTATCTATCTATCTATCTAGATCACTTTATTCTGTCTCTCTTTCTATCTATCCATCTATCTATCTGAATCTGTCCTTTTTCTCTCACAATCTGTTTCAATCAGTTGATTTATCTATCTCAATCTGTTCGTCTATCTATCTATCTATCTATCTATCTATCTATCTCAGCCTCTTCCTTTTCTGTCTAACTCAATCAGTTCCTTTCTTTCTTTCACTCTCACTCACTATCTCTCTCTCTCTCTCTCTCTCAATATTCTTTCTGTTGATATTTACTTGTGCATGTATTCTTTTATATTCGGACAAAGACATCTATATGAATGCGTGCATGTGTGTCTCTGTGTGTTCGTGTGGGTGTGCATAACATTTTGGCTCACATTGAAACAAATAAATGTAATTCTTTTCATATTATTTATCTCAGTGGCTTCATATCGATTTATTTCTCTGTATCTATCTATCTATCTATCTATCTATCTATCTATCTATCTATCTATCTATCTATCTATCTATCTATCTATCTATCATTATCTGACAGTCTATCTTTACCTTTCTCCCTGTCTGTGTCTCTTGCTTATCTATCTCCTTCTCTCTGTCTGCCTATCTATCTATCTATCTATCTATCTATCTATCTATCTATCTAGCATCATCATCATCATCATCTGAGAGTCCATCTTTATCTCTCTGTCTGTCTGCCTATCTATATATCTATTTCTGTCTGTCTGTTTATCTACTTAACTCTATCTATCTATCTATCTATCTATCTATCTATCTATCTATCTATCTCATGCTGGTTAATCTCTTCCTCCCTTTCCCAACCTAACTTAGAGGGAGTGAAATAGAATAAGACTTTACCAATGAGAAGTGAGGAGAAAATACACTGGTTTCTGGAAGACAGAAAATTGCGTTTGACGTTGCATTTACATTTTCGAATATCGTAGTGTGCATGGAAGCAAGAAACTGACGGTCAGCTTCATAGGCGAAAAGAGCGAAAGAAAATATTGTCATATGATTCAGGATGCATATAGTTATTTCGGCAGTAAAACGATGAGACCCACTTGACTATACCGTGGTCTATGAAGAATTTTTTTTTGACGACTTCGAGATTAATTGTGGAATTCACCGAACTCACTTTTAGCAGTTGATTACTTCTTCTACGCGCCGCTGGCGAATCTTATACGCGTTGTTCTTGTCATAATATTATCGTTAATTACCAACCTTCGTTTGATTATTCGATTCAGTAACATTCCCTAGGTTACAACAATGATATTTGTAGAAAAGACATAATGACGTCATAACACGTCGTTGAGAAAGCGACTGTTTAAAATAATTTGAATTTTGTCAAGAATCTCAAGATTTGTAGAAAGGGTCCCAGAACAGATATGGCAGCAATATTCAATTCACGGAGAAATAGTAAATTTATAAAGTGCAACAAGGAGTCAGACAATTTATTGGCACGACACACTCAACCAGTTTTCTTAGCAGTAGACTTACCAACTGATTCAATATAATCATTCCAGTTCATGGCGATAAAAAACGTGACGGGAGACAGAACGTGTTTCTCTCCTGAATTTTATCCTCAGCCATGGTGATAGTAGACAGAAAATATTCTCTGTGATGATACATGAAAGCAGTTTTGTTTTGGAGGTGTTAAAATATATGAGCCATTCTTTGAACAAGTTAAACTGATTGGAGGTCATTTTCGAGAGCAGTTTCCTGTTGTAATTTGTCAGTTTTATCGGTTTAAAACAGAAATAAATGTATCATCTTCATAGATGTCTAGTTGGGAACTGATGACAACGGGACGGTCGTTGATGAAGACGAGAAGCGGCGTAGGTCCGAGGATAAATCCATCTGTGAACCCTGTATTAGTATGAAATGAAATAAAAGCGTGTCTATTCACTACGATTTTCCTTATACTATTGCATAGGAAACGATTGCATTAGACTAAATATTCGTCCAGAGAAGCTGAATTCTTTGAACGTTTGGAAAAGACCAGTATGCCAAAGTCTATCTAACTTACTTGGGATAATAATGCAATGAATCTATTTAAAGCCTGACAGACAAATTCATTGATAGCTGTTAAGACGTAGTTGTTAGAGAAACGGAAGCCATACTGATTATTCCAAAGGAGGCCGTGTGAAATTAGATGCTTTTACCAATTTGACGCTGATTAGAGCATCTAGAAATTCGCTAAAAGGAGGTAAAAACTAATATGGTGATAATTCTTTGTGTTCAAATGGGTTTGTACCATTCCATATATTCTACAGGTACAGAGGATGGTTTCCAACATGTTGGAAATTAAGAAGTGTGGAGACAAATTTTAAATTATTTGGGGGAATCTGGTTTAGAAATGATATCAGAAACCAAATCCACGGCAGATTTATTTATCAACCAGTATATATATATATATATATATATATATATATATATATATATATATATATATATATATAATTAACGTGGATAAACTTATCACTTTACTGAGTGAATTCATTTCAGGACGATTTGAAGAAAAAAAAAGAAAAAGAAATAATGCAGAAATTTAGACATTCAGATAAATACTTACTTACTCATAAATATACCAATAAAAACAGAATAAAGATAACACCAAGCATATCACTACAAACACTAACCTACACATATAGAGACAAACGCACACGCATAAATACTTAATCACAACAAAACCAAAGAAAAAACAACAGAGGATAAAAGAAATTAAAGAAATAACAAGATAATAAAAACACAACAAATGGACACGCACCAACCTCTCAAAGGAATATACAGACACACACATATTAGTAAATATTACCAAAATAATGCATACATACACAAGCACAAGAACCTAAGCATGACTCTAAGTGTTAAATCAAAGGATCAAGGGGTAAATCCTATATAAAGCAATTAAGCTAGCATAATCACAAATACGTTTAAAAGAGCTCAGTACAATACAAAGCAAATAATCACCAAGAAAACATACACCACTGAAGAATCACCCAAAAACTTAGAGATGAAAACAGATAACACAGCACGCATTAAGTGAAAAAAAATCACACACTCACACAAAGATATCATTTTAAACCAAACATAAAGGCAAAGTTGTGAAGTAGAAGCAGAGACACAAATAGCCCTGAAGAGTTAAAGCATTAAAACAATGCGCTCATGAAATTTCGAAGTCGAATAACTGAAATATTACCACTCAGTTAAGTGAGAATTTTCATTAATTATACATATATATATATATATATATATATATATATATATATATATATGCAAACGATCTATCTATCTATCTATCAATCTATATATATATATACACATGTCTGTTTATATATATATATATATATATATATATATATATATATATATATATATATAAATATATATATATATATATATATATATATATATATATATATATATATATATATATAAATATATATATATATATATATATATATATATATATATATATATATATACAAATATCAATTGATTTATCGATATAATGTAATGTTTTTTTAAGTTACTTTTTAATAGGGCTTGATTATATGTAGTTTTTTTTGTGAAATATTGTTTTACTAGAAGACAGTTTCTTTATTCTTGTATTTACTGTATTTAGAACTTGGTTTATAATTGCTTTCGGGTGGTTTAAGTTGATATTTATGTATATGGGTGATTGGTTTTCATTATGGGAGGGTTTATAGGCGTTGTAGAGATTAAATGTAACCTCTAGAAAATGTACGATTTTTAGATTGGATGATATTTCGATTTTAAATCCCCAACATTGGAAGGCCTTAATTATTTTCTCGTGTAGTTGGCATGTTAGAGGGCATTGGTGTTAGTTATAACAATAAGTCCATCATCTCTGTACAGACCTACGTTTTTTGGGTGGTCTAAAAATCTACTTAGAATGTTTAAAATGTATATATCTATTAAAATAGATCGATAGATAGATAGATAGATATGTGTATAATAAAAAAAACATAGATCGACGCAGGAATAATATTATGTACGTATAAATATATTTCTTCCACAGGTGTAATAAATAATGTGCTCAATGTTATTAGACAGAGCTATAAGTGTTTATTAGTGAATATACATAATAGCTAACGTCGGTGCAATACAATTTTCTGGTGCAAATACAATCTCTGAAATTTCTTGTGTCCGTTTTCTTTTAAGGTATTGCATGTAAGGAATTTACTAATTTTAGATTTGATTGTGTACAACTTGTCTGAATCCTAGTTTGCTGAAGATTTCTGACGTGTTTTCTCATTTTTTAGTCGTTCTGCCGTTACAGTTCGTTAGGATTATTAGTCCGTTGTCGCTATATAGGCCTATATTTTTTAAAACCCTACACCACTTAAGAAACACAAAAAAGCTTAAAGATAAAAACAGATAATACAACAACTATTAAGGGAAAAAATATCATACACACGCACAAAGATATCACATTAACGCAAACATAAAGGCGAAAAGGTTGAAAAGTAGCAGCTGAGACGCCAGTTGAGTGAACCTCTGGGTTTGAAATACACCGCTTGTCAACCTGTCTGCCTTCCGGCAGAAAGCAACCCATACGCGACTCCGCCTTTCGGCATAGCCTTGGCCGCTAACCGATCCCATGTATACGGAGTCTACGGGGAATTTTTGCTGTTGCCTACGGGTTTGGAATGCACTGAGTAAAATAACTTGCGCCACATACCGATTTTGGGAAGTTCGCGTAAGTACCGAAACGATAATAGCGTTGAAGAGTAAAGGCATTACAACAATGTGCAGGCGAAACATCGAAAATGGCATGACTGAAATAGCACCACTTAATTAATTGACAACTTTTTCTGCACTAATTCTATTAATCCTCTAGCCTTACCTTTTGATATCGAGCACATTATGATAAAAAACCTGCCTGCCTAATATGCTTTCCCACTAGTAAACTACGGAAACGACCTAGGGATTTTGGCATTAAACACGCACAATTTAATACTATATATCTCAGAATTTTTAGAATTTTAGAGCATAGTATGGTAAAATATTCAGACAAAAAAGCTGACGTCGGTAGACATCTTGCTTTCCTCAGACCGGTGAAAATATTCAGACAATGGTAGTCAGGCTTTTGAAATGTAATAATCGCGAAACGTCTTGTAAATGGAACTCACTTTTGATAAAGAAATCAAGATGATATTTTCTTTGTGAAGACATAAACTTGTCCTCTCCGATGAGAATATATTGATGGGAATTCGCAGTTGGAAACGAAATATCTTGCAAAAGGATGAAGTGAACATTTCCAAAAGGGGGAAGTCAGAAATTACTGTTTTCATTAGTTTCTTTAATGATTTAACGCCCCTATGGCGTTAATTGCCAGGAAGTATCACAAAAATCGAAAATACGTCTACCACAGATACTAACAGATACACCGCCCCCCACACACGTGACTTATCCGGTTAAAGGACTCAAGAGGTCAGTGAGGAAATGTTCATAAGCGTATTGATAAATATATTATTATGAATAATTGTTAGAAATATTATTAAAATATCTATAGATTGAGCGCTATTTGCACAAGTACTGTTAACACGAAAAAAAAAATAGACACATAATTTTTGCGACTTTTCCAATTTGTATTATTACTATATATCGGATCTAACATCAA